TGTGCGCAAGTGTCAGTGTGATACAGCCACACTGACACCAGCCAACTGTCAATCACGTCAAACGCATACATTTCACCACATGCACGCACACATGCACTTGCTCGCTCGCTCGCTCTCGCTCTCACACACACACACACACACACACACACACACACAGTAAGATTATTTAAGAGGGTTTTAAGTATAAATGTTCACATCATGTGTTTTATCTAAAGTACGCTCTGTGACTCTCGTCCATCCTTCCTGCTCTTACTCGTACTTTTCCATCTTTACTTGTTTTGCTCAAGGTCGTTCTCAGTCAGTTTGGGAGCATCGGCGTACAGTTGAGTATAAAATAAATTAGCCAGTGATCTGAAGACAGCTGTTCACATATGGAGGGATTTCCTTACGCAAACAGCATTTGTTTAATGTATCTGCTGTGGTGTGTGGACACGAAACGCTGACGGCCACCAGAGGGGCGGTGGCTGGTCGGTTGGTATGCAGCTGTTTGTCCAGGAAGCGACGGGAAGAAAGACACGCAGACGCAGCTGTCAGATATTTACAGAACAACGCTCCTCAATGGCATCTCATTACCGAAGAATGCAACATGAACAGTTTGCGCTGAGCAAATACGCTAAGTTTCTGCTGGTCGTCCTCCATGTCAGGGGATGGGACATGAAACAATCTAAAAAGTCAAAGTAGGTGTTTTCTCAGAGTTTGTTTCTGTAATTTCAGGCAGCACACAAATAGCTTCAGCTTTGTACAACACATGAAAGTGGAGACAAGTCGATGGTGCAGCCTCGTTCTGCCGTCGACTGTGAATCCTGTTTCTAAACTGCTGCTGTTTGTTCGTATTGATCCGGTTCAGCTTCTCAAACAGCCTCAGCATCACAATCCTCAACAAAGCCATCATCTCCATTGTCACGAAAGTGGATAATTGTCACAATCTTGGACTAATTTTGGTCAAGAAACCGGCAAATAAACTCGTGTTCATCACAGCTGCTTCTCCAGTAATCAGGCCCAGGTGTGTGGGGAGAACCGAGCTACAGCGTCCAGCGACGTACGGACGCATATCATTCAACACCACGCTGAACCCTCAGGGAGGCACGCAGCTCTGAGTTCACTCGTTCTGTCGAGACAAAACCAAAACACCAATTACAGAACCGGTTATATATCACTAATCCAGACATGTAGAGATTGGTTAGATCTAAGACGGATGATGAGAACGTCATTTCAGGAGCTTTGGTGGTTATGGATAGTTTTTATAACATGTAAACGCTCTATTAGAGGCTAACATGCATCGTTTAAGTCCCAGTTCACGACAATCCAGACGTTAACGTTGACTGATGGTTACTAATGCTAACGTCTACATGACTGACGTTAAAAACCAACATCTGATCACGAACTACGTGACATAGGCTGAATATTCAGCTGACATCATATTAAGACGATAATCTGAATAATATCTAACTTGTGCGATTCACAGCTTATAACGATCAAAACCAATAACAGCTTTTTACTAAAAAAGTTGACGAGCATCAGAAAACCTGATTGAAGGCTAATGTGCTGGACCAGTTGATAAATATCAGAGAAGAGTCTCATCGAGACTTCACATCGGTCAGATGAGGAAGCCGGTTTTAAAATAACTTGATGATTGATGGTTGTTAATGATCAAGTCAGATTAGCGGAGGGACTTCAAGGACGACTCTCGTCATTTGAGTGACTGTTATAAGTGCAGAGCAGAGACAGCTGCAGCGGCTGCGTCCGCCAGGCTGAGCAGAAAATGAAAACATCGGACACACACACTAATTCAGGCATACAGCACAAAACGTCCCGAGCTTGTGTAGGTTAAAGACAAATGTTTAAAGTGCATTTCGTCATGTATTCATCCAGGTTTTGAGATAAATATTCTTCTCTGACCCTCCACCAAGTTTTGTGAAAATCTGTTCAGTTGTTGTTGTGTCATCTTGCTCACAAACAAACAAACTAACTAACAGAGGTGAACACATGACCTTGTGGGTGAAGGTAAATGTTCAGCAGTTTATCTCCTTGTTCCTCTGAATCAGACGTTTCCTCAGTGAGCGGTTGTTTGGGGAAAACATGGCCGAAGGGAAAATGTGGAGCGAAGCTGTCAAGTTCGTTTGACCTCTTACACAGCGGGCCCTTACACTTGTTCAACACAGGTGGATGTATGATGTCACTATCAATTGCTGCACTGTGTTGCAGTGGAAGTGAGCCATCGTTAATGTCATTAGCTCCACCCGTGCTGTTCCTGCTATGACCGGTCAAATGACCTGCTGGGAACAACGTCTCTGACTCTAATTCATTCTGAAACGCAAATGTTTTCAAAAAGCCAAATATTTTACCTGAATTAATCATGAAGGCTTTTTT